CCGTCGTCCTCGTGGTTGGTGAGGCGTCCTGGCTGTCTCTTCTGCGTATATTTCCTGTCGCCTTGGCGCGGGCCCCCCTTCCACTCCTTACGTTGTCCCCATCCTCGCCCCCCTGTTTGTTCCGCGCCCCGCCACCTCCTCCCCTTCCTGTTGCATGAGCGCGCATGTCGATGTTCCTCGGCGCCGTCGCCGCACGGCCAGCACAGGCGCGTTCTCTACTGGTCACGTCGCGCAGCCGTGGGACAACCCCGCGGGCCAGGCTGTCGGGACAACCCCGCGAGCCGTTGGGCGCGCAAAACCAAAGCCGTTGGGACAACCCCGCGGGCTTCGAGCGAGGCGCAGCCGCGCTCAGGCGGAAGGCAGCACGAAGCCCAGCTCTGCCGCGAGCTGCTTCGCCTCCGCCCTGGACAAAACCGCCTGAGACTTCCTCCATATTCAGGCTTGAGGAGCCCAAAAGTGACGACAGTTACAGGGTTCCGATGACCCGCTCGGATTACCAACATGATCTGCGGGCCCCATAGGGAGGGGCTCCCGCCTGAGACTTCCTCACAATTCACTCAGAGACGAGGCTCCCGCCTGAGACTTCCTCCAAATTCAGGCTTGACGAGCCCAAAAGTGACGACAGTTACAAGTTTCCGATGACCCGCTCGGATTACCAACATGATCTGCGGGCCCCATAGGGAGGGGGCTCCCGCCTGAGCCTTCCTCAGAATTCACTCACAGACGAGGCTCCCGCCTGAGACTTCCTCCAAATTCAGGCTTGACGAGCCCAAAAGTGACGACAGATACAGGATTCCGATGACCCGCTCGGATTACCAACATGATTTGCGGGCCCCATAAGGAGGGAGTTCCCGCCTGAGACTTCCTCCCAATTCACTCACAGACGAGGCTCCCGCCTGAGACTTCCTCCATTTTCAGGCCTGGGGAGCTCAAAAGTGAGGACAGTTACAGGATTCCGATGACCCGCTCGGATTACCAACATGATCTGCGGGCCCCATAGGGAGGGGGCTCCCGCCTGAGACTTCCTCACAATTCACTCACAGACGAGGCTCCCGCCTGAGACTTCCTCCAAATTCAGGCTTGAGGAGCCCAAAAGTGACGACAGTTACAGAAGTTTCCGATGACCCGCTCGGATTACCAACATGATCTGCGGGCCCCATAGGGAGGGAGCTCCCGCCTGAGACTTCCTCCCAATTCACTCACAGACGAGGCTCCCGCCTGAGACTTCCTCCATTTTCAGGCCTGGGGAGCTCAAAAGTGACGACAGTTACAGGATTCCGATGACCCGCTCGGATTACCAACATGATCTGCGGGCCCCATAGGGAGGGGGCTCCCGCCTGAGACTTCCTCACAATTTACTCAACGATGATGAGGATGAGGATGATGAGTGGTGGTGAAGATGAGTGGTGAAGAGGATGATGATTGATTGTGAGTGGTGGTGGCGATGATGATGTTTGAATGAGGATGATGCCGATGCCGATGATGATGATGATGATGATGATGTTCATGAGCGTGTGAGAGAGTGCGAGTGATGATGATGATGAGTATGTGAGTGACTAAGCATGTGAGAGAGCATCATCGATGATGCTGATGAGGTTGATGATGAGAGAGTGCGAGTGAGTGTGAGTGTGTGTGTGTGTTCCTGTTCCTGCGCGGGGTGTCCAGAGAAAATTACTCCGACGGAAGAACCCCACATAAGAATCCTCTGGGCGAATCTGGAAAAAGCCATCACCGTCGTCCTCGTGGTTGGTGAGGCGTCCTGGCTGTCTCTTCTGCGTATATTTCCTCTCGCCTTGGCGCGGGCCCCCCTTCCACTCCTTACGTTGTCCCCATCCTCGCCCCCCTGTTTGTTCCGCGCCCCGCCACCTCCTCCCCTTCCTGTTGCATGAGCGCGCATGTCGATGTTCCTCGGCGCCGTCGCCGCCACGGCCAGCACAGGCGCGTTCTCTACTGGTCACGTCGCGCAGCCGTTGGGACAACCCCGCGGGCCAGGCTGTCGGGACAACCCCGCGAGCCGTTGGCGCGCAAGACCAAGCCGTTGGGACAACCCCGCGGGCTTCGAGCGAGGCGCAGCCGCGCTCAGGCGGAAGGCAGCACGAAGCCCAGCTCTGCCGCGAGCTGCTTCGCCTCCGCCCTGGACAAAACCGCTCTCTTGTCGAACTCCAGGAGCGCCTTCCGCAGGGACGCCGGCGGCCCGCACTCCAGGAACTCTCGCGGCGGCGGCCGCAGGATCAGCATGTTCCGCATGCACGTGGCGCGGGAGAACATGACGTAGAGGTGCAGCCACCACTGCTCGTCCGACATGCCCGTGCGGCCAGCGTCATCGTCTCTCGCGCAGTCGATGGTGACGCCCTTGCGCAGCGTCTGGCCCTGCGACAGCGTGGAGGTCAAGTAGGCCGCGTGCGTCAGGGTGAACCCCTGAGCCCCCGCTCGGATTACCAACATGATCTGCGGGCCCCATAGGGAGGGGGCTCCCGCCTGAGACTTCCTCGCAGTTCACTCACAGACGAGGCTCCCGCCTGAGACTTCCTCCATATTCAGGCTTGAGGAGCCCAAAATTGACGACAATTACAAGATTCCGATGACCCGCTCGGATTACCAACATGATCTGCGGGCCCCATAAGGAGGGGGCTCCCGCCTGAGACTTCCTCCAATTCACTCACAGACGAGGCTCCCGCCTGAGACTTCCTCCGAATTCAGGCTTGACGAACCCAAAAGTGACGACAGTTACAAGGTTCCGATGACCCGCTCGGATTACCAACATGATCTGCGGGCCCCATAGGGAGGGGGCTCCCGCCTGAGCCTTCCTCAGAATTCACTCACAGACGAGGCTCCCGCCTGAGACTTCCTCCAAATTCAGGCTTGAGGAGCCCAAAAGTGACGACAGTTACAGGGTTCCGATGACCCGCTCGGATTACCAACATGATCTGCGGGCCCCATAGGGAGGGAGCTCCCGCCTGAGCCTTCCTCAGAATTCACTCACAGACGAGGCTCCCGCCTGAGACTTCCTCCAAATTCAGGCTTGACGAGCCCAAAAGTGACGACAGTTACAGGTTTCCGATGACCCGCTCGGATTACCAACATGATCTGCGGGCCCCATAGGGAGGGGGCTCCCGCGTGAGACTTCCTCACAATTCACTCACAGACGAGGCTCCCGCCTGAGACTTCCTCCATATTCAAGCTTGAGGAGCCCAAAAATGACGACAATTACAAGATTCCGATGACCCGCTCGGCTTACCAACATGATCTGCGGGCCCCATAGGGAGGGAGTTCCCGCCTGAGACTTCCTCCCAATTCACTCACAGACGAGGCTCCCGCCTGAGACTTCCTCCATTTTCAGGCGTGGGGAGCTCAAAAGTGACGACAACTATAGGATTCCAATGACCCGCTCGGATTACCAACATGATCTGCGGGCCCCATAGGGAGGGGGCTCCCGCCTGAGACTTCCTCACAATTTACTCAACGGTGATGAGGATGAGGATGATGAGTGGTGGTGAAGATGAGTGGTGAAGAGGATGATGATTGATTGTGAGTGGTGGTGGCGATGATGATGTTTGAATGAGGATGATGCCGATGCCGATGATGATGATGATGATGATGATGTTCGTGAGCGTGTGAGGAGTGCGAGTGATGATGATGATGAGTATGTGAGTGACTAAGCATGTGAGAGAGCATCATCGATGATGCTGATGAGGTTGATGATGAGAGAGTGTGAGTGAGTGTGAATGGGTGTGTGTGTGTGTGTTCCTGTTCCTGCGCGGGGTGTCCAGGGAAAACAAGAACCCCACTTTGGATGTTGGGAATTGACGACAGTTACAGGTTTTGGATGACCCGCTCGGATTACCAACATGATCTGCGGGCCCCATAGGGAGGGGGCTCCCGCCTGAGACTTCCTCGCAGTTCACTCACAGACGAGGCTCCCGCCTGAGACTTCCTCCATATTCAGGCTTGAGGAGCCCAAAATTGATGACGGTTACAGGATTCCGATGACCCGCTCGGATTACCAACATGATCTGCGGGCCCCATAGGGAGGGGGCTCCCGCCTGAGACTTCCTCACAATTCACTCAGAGACGAGGCTCCCGCCTGAGACTTCCTCCAAATTCAGGCTTGACGAGCCCAAAAGTGACGACAGTTACAGGTTTCCGATGACCCGCTCGGATTACCAACATGATCTGCGGGCCCCATAGGGAGGGGGCTCCCGCCTGAGCCTTCCTCAGAATTCACTCACAGACGAGGCTCCCGCCTGAGACTTCCTCCAAATTCAGGCTTGAGGAGCCCAAAAGTGACGACAGTTACAGGGTTCCGATGACCCGCTCGGATTACCAACATGATCTGCGGGCCCCATAGGGAGGGAGCTCCCGCCTGAGACTTCCTCCCAATTCACTCACAGACGAGGCTCCCGCCTGAGACTTCCTCCATTTTCAGGCTTGACGAGCCCAAAAGTGACGACAGTTACAGGTTTCCGATGACCCGCTCGGATTACCAACATGATCTGCGGGCCCCATAGGGAGGGGGCTCCCGCCTGAGACTTCCTCAATTTACTCAACGATGATGAGGATGAGGATGATGAGTGGTGGTGAAGATGAGTGGTGAAGAGGATGATGATTGATTGTGAGTGGTGGTGGCGATGATGATGTTTGAATGAGGATGATGCCGATGCCGATGATGATGATGATGATGTTCGTGAGCGTGTGAGAGAGTGCGAGTGATGATGATGATGAGTATGTGAGTGACTAAGCATGTGAGAGAGCATCATCGATGATGCTGATGAGGTTGATGATGAGAGAGTGTGAGTGAGTGTGAGTGGGTGTGTGTGTGTGTGTTCCTGGTCCTGCGCGGGGTGTCCAGAGAAAACAAGAACCCCACTTTGGATGTGGGGAACAAGAACCCCACTTTGGATGTGGGGAATGAGAAATGCATCCCTGAACTGCGCGTCGGTGCTTCTTCTGGACGCGCGCGCGCCCACGCCCTCGATGCCGCGGCCGGTGCGTCCCCGGGGTCAGGACAGCTGCCCGCAGTCGAGCACGACCACCGGGGTGTCCTTCGAGCGCCCGCGCTTCCCCATCTCCCGGACCACCTCGATGCCCTGGCACACCTGTTGATGGGCCTGTTTTCCACCACCACCACCAGAAGTTGGAGGGGGAGGGGGTCCTCTTCCTCCTCCTCCTCCTCCTCCTTCTCCTCCTCCTCCTTCTCCTCCTCCTCCTCCTCTCCGTCCTCCTCCTTCTTCTCCTCCCCCCGCCAACTTATGGTGGTGGTGGTAGTGAAAAACTTGCCCATCACCTGTCCGAACACCACGTGCTTCCCGTCTAGGTGGTGGCAAGCGGCCAACGTGATGAAGAACTGCGACGTCTGCGAGTCCCTCCTCGGAAGTGTGAGGGCTGCTTCCCCCCCTCCTCCTCCATCCTCAGCGTCATTGCAATCCTCTTTCTGGACCAGAAAACAAACGGCACCAACCCACCTATGGCCACACGGGCCGTAGCGTATACCAGGACGTCTGGCGTGGGTTTCTGCATGGTATACGCTACGGCCCCCGATGGGCCGTAGCGCAACGTGGAGGGCCGTAGGTGGGGTAGTGTCGTTTGTGTTTTGGCCGATCCTCCTTCATCCTCATCGTCATTGCAATCAAGCGTCAACAACAGCAGAATCGTCATCATATTAATGACCACACTCATCATCAGCATCAACATCATCACAGGCAGCATCATCGCTAACAACGTCTACACAATCACAATTATCATCGTCGATCGTCATCGATATCGTCATCGTCATCACCATCATCAGATTCCTCATACTCGTCTGCCGCCGCCTCCTCCTCCTCACCACCACCACCTCCACCATCATCACCATCAGCAACATCATCATCTCATGTCAACCTCATCTGAATACTTCTCCCCCGCCTGCTCCTCCTACCCCTCCCCCTCTTCCTCCTCCTCCATTTCCTTATGCTCATTGTCCTCCTCCGGGTCGTCCTCGGTGATTGAAACACAAGGTTGTTGGACGAGGCGGGTAATTATCAGGCCTCTGCGGGCCTCTGGGTGCCTGAAGGACCTCCCAAAACCTCAACAAAAAACATCCAAGGACGTCGAGAGACCCCCCTCCCCCCCCCCCCACCCACACACACACACACACAAACACTTTCCCTCCACGATCCACCTCCCGATTAGGAGGACGAAGAACAGTGTAAGCCTAAGACGCATCGACAATGTTGCAATCAACCCTCCCTCTAAGTTCCCTCTTCGTAGGTCCCTACAAGAATGTATGCATCGCGGGGACTGCCTGATTGCAAGACAACTGTCTGATCATCCTGAGTCCTGCCAGAACACCATTCCTGGGACTTCAGCGCCGCGAATTAACGTGACTGTTGCATCTCGAAAATCCTAGATCCTAGATCGTGCCAGAAGCCCAATCCTGAGACTTCAACGCACCGAATCAATGTGACCCGTGGGTCCTCAAACTCCTGAATCACGCCAGAACCACTCATGGGATGTCAACCCTACGAATCCGCGAAACAGCTGGAAACTTTTAAGACGAATGTGCGCGGCGCTACAACGCGAACCGCATTTTAAACGGACCCGCCTTCCATCCTTGAAGCTCTCGCAACTTGCAAAGGGCCACATGTTGAAAACGGCCCGCCCTCTATCCGTGAAACTGTTGCAAACTTGAAAACGCGAATGCGCGCTGCGCTAAAGCAAGATAACAAATTTGACAACGACCCGCCTTTCATCCGTGAAACTGTCGAAGCATTCAAACTTCAAGACCATAAATGGTAAAGAAGTCTCAGGCGAAACGCCCAGGCAGCCCTACCGACACGTCTGGGTGCGCGATAGACAGGGGGATGGAAGGGGAGAAGGGGAAGGAGGAAGAGGAGGAGAGAGAATGGAGGCTGCAGAGGTTGAGGCAAGAGGGGGGCGGAGGCGAGGGAGGGAATGGCAAGGAAGAGGGGGGGAGGGACAGGGAAGGGTGGAGAAGAGGAGGGAGCAGGGGGGGAGACAGAGAGGGAGGCGAACCGGGAGAGGAAGGGCCTGGGGACGGGCGACGGGGAGGAGGCGCCGCTGGGCGTGCCGATACAGACCACCTCCCCCCTCATTGCATCCTTACGCTCCTCCCCGTCTTCCGAGAGGAGCTGGAGGGGGAGCGGGAGGAGCTCACTCGCCCTCCTCCTCCTTTTCCTCCTCTTCCCCCTGCCCTGGCGGGGGCTCCCGGCGTTGGCCATGGAGAGCAGCCCCTCTACGGAGTGCTCGATGTAGCCGCTCGCCTGGCTGTCTCTCGGGGACGGGGAGCGAGGGAGAGACGGGGGCGGACGAGGAAGGAGGTGGGAACGAGAAGGAGGGCGACGAGCAAGGAGGGAGGGAGTGAGTAGACAAGCGCGTTCCACTACTGGCACAGTAGCTACTCGCAAATGGCCTGGATCCGCCGCGGCAGATTTACGATCCATTACAGTAAGGGAGACATGTTTTCTGACGTCTGCGAATAGGCACTTTGCGAGTAATGGGACGCGCTCGAGGAGTGATGGGGGAGGAGGTGAACGAAGAGGAAGAGGAGGAGGACGGGGTGACGTCCTCAGCGCCGCCCTTGGGGGTGACGTCTTCTGCGCGGATTTCTTGCATGCGCTGAACCCCCTCCCTGGCGCGCGGAGCCAAGGGTGCCCAGCGCCGATCCAAGAAATCCGCGCGGAGCTCTCAGAAATTATGTGTATATATATATATATATATGCCGTATACTCTTCTTCGAAACAAACAAGAACGAGGGCTGCTCCGTCGGCGGATGTCGGCCCCTGGCGCCCAGGTCATCCCGAGCCGGCCACATACAGTCAGGGCCACGATCGGGAACGCAGCATCTACGACGAAGGCAGGACGAGGAGGAAATCGGACCAGGAAAAATCGGGGGGCTCTGAGATCCGGCGGTTCTGAGGGATGTATCGGACGCCGCGGCCTCCTCAAAGCGTTCCAGAAAGCTCTGAAAGCGGTCTGGAACGCTCTGGAACGGATTTGTCCTCGTCCTAGCCCCGCCCGGGTATCAGAGGAGAACTGGGCTGGCTTTCTAACACCAAGCTGGCCTTTCGCGTACACCCGCGTGCGCGCACAGGGAGGCCCCGAGAGGATGCGGAGACGGCCCCAAGAGGGCCCAAGACAGCCCGACGGGCCCACCAAGGCAGCCAAAATAGTGGTAAAGAGGCCCCTGAGAAGGGCCCAGCCAGAGGCCCAAGAGGCGGAGACCGTATGGGTCCCGGGAGCCGCCCTCCACAAGATCGCCCCCCAAGACCCCCAGCATGCCCCGAAGAGGCCACCAAGAGACTCCCGAGAGAGCCTTGCTTCGAGGGCCCCCAGCAAAAACCGGAGCCCTGACGAGGGCTGTCAAGAGGCCGCCCCCCGAAGCCTCCAGGAGGCCACTAAGGAGCCCCACGACAGAGGCGGAGGAAGATGCGCAGGCAACACGACGGGAAGCGGCAAGCATCACACGCGGACTCGGGAGCCGCACGTCGCCTCTTCCGGGGGCCTGCGGGATGGCGTAAGCCTCTCGACTCCACGATGAGCCCAGAGGAGGATCACGCCCCCGGGTGCCCGGGGTTCCCTGAGATCCTGGCGACTCAATTTTTTCGAGCCGGGCGTTTTCGCACAATTTCGGGCCCTGGGACCCTCACCGGTCGATCCGGCTTGAAACATGGCGCAGAAAGAGAAGGTCTGGGGATCCAAGCTCGATTTTTCACGGCGTCCCAAATTTTTGGAGACGTCGGATCTCAGGGTTTCCGGGGTCGGCCCCATCACGGTAAAAAACCACGATCAGGAAAAGAGGATCACAGGAGACCTGGGCCAGCTTGCCAACACCAGGCCAGTCTTTCACGTGCACACTCCTGCGCGCAGGGGGGAAGCAACTGGCCCGGCTGATCCAGGAGGCTGCAAACAAGAAGCTGAGCCAGGTAGTCCAGGGGAGGTTTCTTGGTGTTCGAAACGATCCGAGAGATGTCTCGCTGACAGGCGACATGGATCTCAGGGTGATCGAGAATCGGAGGACCAGCGGTCGGAAGAGCAACAATATACCAGGATCCGAGCCCTCAGCGAACTCAAGGGATTCATGAATTGAGTATCGTTTAACCGATCCCCATCCCCAGCGGCGTGGCCTGAGCCCCACTGGCCGATTTACCCCCCTAGATGGCGATATAGGTCGTTCCTTTCGGGTTTCGAGGGGTGTATCCCAAACTTGGGAGGTAATTTGGTGGGGGTCTCGAAGGGGATGGAGATGGGGATGGGGTTCGGTTAAACGATACTGATGAATGAAAGCATGCACGTGTGTACTTTACAGGGGGGCAGATGAGGAAACAAAAGGGAGGACGCAGGAAGGAGGAGAGGACGAGTGAGCGACCCCTCTTGTGGCAATGCTGGGGAGACAAAGGTACCAATACAACGCAACTCCCCAGACCTCTCCTGGGGTACGTTCTGGCCAGAATTTCGAGGCGAATCCGGCGGTGGCGACGAGGGCCTCCTAGGAGGCCCCAAAAGGCGAAAACGAAAGGGGGGTAGCGGTATGGGTGCATCTTCCTTCTCTGAGCAGGAGGGAGGAGAGGACAAGACCACTTGTGCGGCACTGCGGCCTGGCACTCCACTACACGCCTCCTAGATGGGGTCCGAACAGATGGGGTCGGAGGATTGCACTGAATCGGCGATGCATCGGCGATGAATTGGCGATGCATCGGCGATGCGTTGGCGATGCATCGGCGATACATCGGCGACGTCGGCGATGCATCGGCGACGTCGGCGTGGAGAAGATCGGGCTCCACATCAAGCCGCATCGCCGATGCATCGGCGATGCGGCGCGATCCTCCGACCCCACCTACTCTTAGGTCGGGCCTGTCCCCTAGAGGCCAATGTTCGAGGAACAATTAAACATAGTCCAACAATGCTCAAGCATTGTCAAACATACAAAACATAGTCCCCATATAATGTTTTGACTATTTTTGAATATTCCTCCTGTAGAGTGACAGGCACGACTTAAACATACTTGGACTTCATCTGGGATGCCAGATCCACGCCGCTCGACTGGCTGCCCAGCCGGGCGGCACCCACGCGGGCGCTCCGGGCCGTGGCCCCAGGAGGGGTGCGGCGCTTCTCGGGCACGCGAGCGGCGCAGAGGCATCGCGCCCGTCGTGACGCGAGGGAGTGCGGAGCCAGCAACGGAAGCAGCGGAGACCGTGCCGAGACAACCCGAACGGAAAGTCGGTCTGCGGTCACAGCTTTCGACTGGCGGGGCAGAGTGACAGTCTGAACGCCGACAACGATGCCCAACCACGAGTGTGGTCCAAAACCGACCGCGGCCGATGTTGGGCAGGGGGCCGTCTGTCTCGGGTGGACAAAGCACACGGCTGCACCGACAAAGAGTCCTAAGATTCGCCTGTTTTTCCACTGCCACCACCACCATAAGTTGGAGGGGGGAGGAGGAGGAGGAGGAGGAGGAGGAGGAGGAGGAGGAGGAGGAGGAGGAGGAGGAGGAGGAGGAGCCCCCCCCTCCAACTTATGATGGTGGCTGTGGAAAACGCGCCCATCATCCTATTCTCAATGGACTACAACTTCTGATGGACTTTGTACCAGCTGTTTCCGTACCCATTCCAGCCCCCCCGAACACACAGGCGTCTCGAGCCCACGCGCCGGAGAGCGCGTCCGGCAACCGCTCCCATCGGAGGCCCGGGGGGCGGGGCGCTGCTGCGCACTTCTCTCTATTGGGCGGTCGGCAGCAGCGGGGCAGCCCTGCAAAACCATCCCCTGGCCGCGGGGGGGCGAGGAAGCGGAGGAGGAGGAGGAGGAGGAGGAGGAGGAGGAGGAGGAGGAGGAGGAGGAGGGGGGGAGGAGGGCTAGGTGCGCTCGCGTCACATCTGACGCCCTACCACTCCCTCCCATCCCTTACAATGGCGTTGATCTCCTCTCGATTCGCACAATCGGATGTCGCAGCACGATGTTGAAGATCAACGCGTAGCATGACAAAGCATGGCGTGGTGACGCCCCAAAGTGGCCCACACAATCAACGAATCGACACCGAATGTATAATAACTTCCGACGTTTTTTTTCTGAGGGACATTTTCTGGATTTTTGGGCCTATTTAAAACCATGCCGTGGCATGGCCGTGGAAATAATGAGGCCAGCGCTGCAGCGGGAGCACGATTCGGAACGAGCGGAAGCGCGGAAATGATGCTAGCGCTGCAGCGGGAGTACGACTCAGAACGAGCGGAAGCTCGCGGAAATGAGGCCAGCGCTGCAGCGGGAGCACGATTCGGAACGAGCGGAAGCGCGGAAATGATGCTAGCGCTGCAGCGGGAGTACGACTCAGAACGAGCGGAAGCTCGCGGAAATGAGGCCAGCGCTGCAGCGGGAGCACGATTCGGAACGAGCGGAAGCGCGGAAATGATGCTAGCGCTGCAGCGGGAGTACGACTCAGAACGAGCGGAAGCTCGCGGAAATGAGGCCAGCGCTGCAGCGGGAGCACGATTCGGAACGAGCGGAAGCGCGGAAATGATGCTAGCGCTGCAGCGGTACCAACATGTTGAAAAAACAACCTAGCAAAAACACAACTCCCGGGAATCCGGTGTAAAAAACAAAACGCGGATAGGGGCCAGTTACCTTCCGGACGTCATCAGGGGAGAGAGGAGTAGTTTCATAGCGTGTAACTGTGAAAAGAAAAGGAGGAGGAGGAGGAGGAGGAAGAGGAGGACGGAGAGGAAGGAGAGCAGAGAGAGGAAGAGGAGGAGGAGCAGGACGAGGAGGAGGAGGAGGGAAAGGGGAAGGGGGAGGCGGAAGGAAAGAAGAAGGAGGAGGAAGGGAAGGAGGGAGAGAGGAGGAGAAGGAGGAGGCGAAGAAAGAGGGGGAGGGGAGCGGGAGGGGGAGGGGGAGGGGGAAGGGGAGGGGGAGGAGGAAGAGGAAGAGAGGAGGAGGAGGAGGAGAAGGAGGAGGAGGAGAAGGAGGAGGAGGGAGAGGAGGACAAGGAGGAGAGGAAAACGAGGACAAGGAGGAGGAGGAGGAGGAGGAGGAGGAGGAGGAGAGGGAGGAGGGTTGGATTGGCTCCTTCGCGTAGCGATCGAAGAAAAAAGAGAGGAGCAAGGAAGGCCTGTCTCCTGCCGCTTAGGACTTAAGCGCCTTCCCTGCGACAGAATGATCCAGATATCTCCGAGTGGTGGCTGTGAGCTTCTTGGAGCACTCTGAGGCCAGGTTCTTCCTGAGCTGCTCGGCTCCGAAAAACCCACAATCGGAGCAGATCCACGTTTGCAGGAGATGGGAGTGCAGGGCCGAATGGGTGGGGTGGATCCAGCCGCCCCCCAAATGAGCTTTTAACCCACTCGGCAGACGAGAAATATGAGAATCGACAGGCTCTAAATCGAAACAATCGGATTGCATCCACTCCGTTCTCGTGTCGTGGGATGCGCTACCTCTAGACCTGCTACACCTCTTCCCACACTCACTGATGACATGAGAACAGGAAAAGAGGGCGACGGTGGCAGGGGCAGGAGGGGGCGGAGGCCCGAGGGGGCAGGGCGAAGGAAGGGGGGCTGATCCTGGCGTCTGCCTAGGGTTGGTTCGGGGTGCCTGGTGCCCATTGCCTGAGAGCGTGACTGCGCGGATGCTGGCAAAACGTTGTCATGCGAGGGGCACGGGGCAGGGCCTGTCGTCTCCGCCTCAGCGTGCCTGGTGCCCATTGCCTGAGAGCGTGACTGCACGGATGCTGGCAAAACGTTGTCATGCGAGGGGCACGGGGCAGGGCCTGTCGTCTCCGCCTCAGCGTGCCTGGTGCCCATTGCCTGAAAGTGTGACTGCACAGATGCTGGCAAAACGTTGTCATGAGAGGGGCACGGGGCAGGGCCTGTCGTCTCCGCCTCAGCGTGCCTGGTGCCCATTGCCTGAAAGTGTGACTGCACAGATGTTGGCAAAACGTTGTCATGAGAGGGGCACGGGGCAGGGCCTGTCACCTCCGCCTCAGCGTGCCTGAGAGCACCGTCCGGTTCGAAAAAAAAACGTGCGCAGGCCTGAACATCAAAGTGCAATTTTCCACATGCCAATATGGAGTGTCAATTGGAAGCGGGCAGGGGGGCTGGGCGGTCTGTACTGCAGCCTAGCCCGCTCGACATGTGAGGCTCGATCTCCCACGTGTGAAAAGACCGTCGGCGGGGATGCGTACGCACAATCCCGTCGCTTATTTCCTCGGAAACCTACGCCTCCTCTCACCTACTACCTGATGGGGCACGGGGAAGAGGACGACACAAAAGCCGATAAGAATATGTCAACATCCGGTGGATTTTCTCGCGTCCTGCTGCTGCCACTCGCTCTAAATTCGAATGCACACTCGGATCCGTCGCCGCAGGGAAGGAGGGAGAGTGGAGGAGGAGGAGGAGGAGGAGGAGGAGGAGGAGGAGGAGGAGGAGGAGGAGGAGGAGGGGAAGGGGAAGGGGGAGGCGGAAGGAAAGAAGAAGGAGGAGGAAGGGAAGGAGGGAGAGAGGAGGAGAAGGAGGAGGCGAAGAAAGAGGGGGGAGGGGAGCGGAAGGGGGGGGGGAGGGGGAGGGGGAGGAGGAGGAGGAGGAGGAAGAGAGGAAGAGGAGGAGGAGGAGGAGGAGGAGGAGGAGGAGAAGGAGGAGGAGGGAGAGGAGGAAGCGGAGGAGAGGAAAAGGAGGACAAGGAGGAGGAGAGGAAAACGATGACAAGGAGGAGGAGGAGGAGGAGGAGGAGGAGGAGGAGGAGGAGAGGGAGGAGGGTTGGATTGGCTCCTTCGCGTAGCGATCGAAGAAAAAAGAGAGGAGCAAGGAAGGCCTGTCTCCTGCCGCTTAGGACTTAAGCGCTTTCCCTGCGACAGAGTGATCCAGATATCTCCGAGTGGTGGCTGTGAGCTTCTTGGAGCACTCTGAGGCCAGGTTCTTCCTGAGCTGCTCGGCTCCGAAAAAACCACAATCGGAGCAGATCCACGTTTGCAGGAGATGGGAGTGCAGGGCCGAATGGGTGGGGTGGATCCAGCCGCCCCCCAAATGAGCTTTTAACCCACTCGGCAAACGAGAAATATGACAATCGACAGGCTCTAAATCGAAACAATCGGATTGCATCCACTCCGTTCTCGTGTCGTGGGATGCGCTACCTCTAGACCTGCTACACCTCTTCCCACACTCACTGATGACATGAGAACAGGAAAAGAGGGCGACGGTGGCAGGGGCAGGAGGGGGCAGGAGAGGTGCCCCTCCGCCTAAGGAGGGGGCATGGCGCCCCCTTCCTTAGGCGGAGGGGCACACAATGGTGACCACGCAGCCCTCGGCGCGCGCAGGCGGCTTCGTGGTCATGGGGGCCAAACGATACCAGGTCCAAACTCCCCTTGACGGGGCAGCCAATGGTCACCACCGGGTGTGCGTTCTGCTTCAAGTCTGGCCCGACTGAGTCGAAGTCGATGGTGACGTTGCGCCATATGAAAGACTCCAAAGATTCCAAGATCTGCTGCAGGCCCGCCGCGTTGACCGCGATCGCTGTGCCCGCCGCGTCCCTGGCGCAGTTGGGGTCGAGATTGATCTCGTAGATCTCGGCGAACGACGCGATGGCCGAGACCGAGACGCCCGCGTCCTCAGCGGGCACGGCGCGCGCCTGGGGCCGCGCCCGGGCACCCAGGCTCGCGCTAGATTGCGCGGGCGAAGATGTCTTCATAGGCCCGCACTGCTGCATCGCAGCATCAAGAGCCTTCAGCGCCCCAAGCGCCGCAACGTTGGCCAGCGACTGCACGGCCAATTCCCAGCCCTTGCCCCGGCTCTCCGAAACGACCACGACGTCCATCTCGATGACTTCGGCCTTGACATTCGGGCTGAGGAGGAGGGGGGCCGCCGCGAAGCGGCCCTTGATGCCGGGCGCCCTGGCGCCGCGCAGGGGGCGAAGCGGGACCCCCAGGAGCCCGACCAAATACTCGCCGCGCACGTCGGCGAGCTTCAGCACATCCTCTCGACACCCGAATACGTCGCCGACGACGGCTGGAATGCACCCCTGCTCCGAGATGAACATCGCCGCGTCCGCGGCGAACTTCCACCAATCGATGAGCAGCGCGCTGCGCGCGGTTACTTCTGGCGTGCCAATCAAGTCACTCAGCGACGCGCCCTCTTGCCAGGATGACTGCAACCTCTGCTTGATATCACAGCACGCGGGTTGCATTGCCAGCGGCTTCTCGCCCTGAAGGTTCTTGGCCATGAACTCCATAAGCGGCTTCTTGCACGGCCCATCCACGACTGCCTGGATGGACTTCGCGCCGCCAGCTTCATCCTGAGGTGCCTGCGCGTCGTCGTCGGCCGCCGTCGCCTGAAGGGCGCGCTTCAGGGCTTCCTTGGCAGGGTCGAAATCCAAAGGCATCTGGCTCGACTGGGGCAACACCTGCGGCTGGACCACGACGCCTCCAGACAACTCCTTGCACGCCGAGTGGACCTGCACCAACGTGTCCCGGACGATCCCACGCAACTTGCCCCGCTGCTCATACTGGCGGCCGGTGAGCGACCTTCCCGCGACAGGTAAATCCCAAGGTCAGGGCTGCGACCCCGCAAATAACTTTGAACCTCGCCTCTGGCGGCATTACGTCGCATGATTTGTCGAACTTGCAAACTTCCTTGGCGCGCGCAACGACCGACAGGATGTCATCTCCGAAGAAGACCTCGCGCGGGTCTGCCACGCCACTCCCCGTGGCGTTGAAAAACTCGACGGCGGTCCTGAACGTTTCCTTCGGGGGCGCGGGCCCCTCTGGCTGGCCCTTCTTGGTTTTCTTCTTGGGGCGGCCGAGCTCGGGTCATCGTTGACGTAGACCGTCAAGTTCTTCATGGCGGTAGGGGGCCTCCTCGAGAGATCGGCGCTGGACTCGTCGAGAACGAACGCGGCCATCTCCTCGGCGTTCCCCCCGACCTCCTCTTTGCTGACCTGGGGCGCGAAGAATTCAACGCCCTCCATGATCAGGGCGGCGACGCGCCGACGGTCAACAGGATCGCCATTGATCTTCGAACAACCGAAACTCTTCACCACGCAGGTCACCCAGGCGCGCATGAGACCAAGGATATCGGCGCTGTCCTGGCTGGCGAAGAAGTCGCAGTGGCTGCCGGCGCACGGGAAGAACGCATCCTGAGGGCGGCGCCCACAAGACATGCATCTTTCCCCTCCTCTAACTCCTCTGGCCCCCCATGAACTGTTGTGAAAATGCAGCCCCCCCCCTCGGGCCCTAGGGCCCGCTCGGAGCCTTCCGAAGCCCTCTGGGAACAGAGTCGACCAAGAAGACAACATGAATCGCATGTCTTCGGTGCCCCCGCCTTCGCTCCCCCCCGGGGTCTGAATTTGGGCATCTTTGATGTTGTACTTGTCGAGTGTGGGGACTAGGCTATTGCACCTCTCGAACATCGAATAGAGAATAAACTTATCCGTGCAATTCCTGTCGATGAACCTCTAATAGGCTTGCTCATGCGCCATGCCGCCTTTGACCTGGCCGCCGCCACCCAGCTTGGAAGTGATCCCCTTGTTTGGTTTCCCCACCGTCCACGCTGCTTCCATGTCTGGGATCTCGGACAAGAGCTCCAGCCAAGAATCGGCTGCTCCCTGGTGGAACTGATTGCGATAGTCCCTGGCCCGCGCAAGAGCGGCCTTCGGGGTGCGACGCGATAAAGATGGCGCATCCCTCCAGCCCGCGCTCGACCGCGTGCTGGATCAGGGGGTTGGACGCCTTCCCTGTGACCGGGCCCGTGCCCTCGTGCGCCGCCTGGTAGAAAGCTCGGCCCCGAGTCCCCCATGTCAGCGCGAACGCCGGGCACTTGTCCTCGGGGGAGTAGACGAGCCACGGGGCCACGCCGACGCCCCTCTGGCACCCTCGGCGCAGCGTGCTCTCCTTGTAGTAGAGGGCGTCGATGCGCTGAAAGTTTTATCTCATTCCGCCGACTCGCCCCCTCCTCCTAGTCCTCGGGGCTGTCGGGGCCAGCGCGTAGAGCTCCCACCGGCTTCCGCATCCTTCCACGCCCTCGCCCTCCGCCCCCCCCCCCCGCCCTCTTTCCCCCCCCCAGGGGTCGACCTAAAACGCGCGTTATCTGCGCGGTTTCGTTCTCCATCTAGTTCTTGAATCCGCATTTGCTGCGACGCAAAGTCGAAGCGAAAACGGCCCGCGAGATCGCCTATGCCCAAACGCCGTCCAGGTCGAACCCTGCCTCTATCCTCCTCCTCCTCCCCCCCCCTCCTCTGGCCCCTGGAAGCAGGGAAGGAAGCAGGGTCGCCGTTGATTTTGGATTGCCCTGCGCACTGGGCGGCGCCGCTTGTTCAGCTCGCGCGCGACGACCGTCTGGCGCCCCACGTTCGAACTGTCCGCGCACCACCGAGGGGCGTCGACCACCTGCGGGTAGTTCACTTGGAAAGCCCGGAAGATCGCTTCGAGCCGCAGGGGGCCGTCGACGTCGCCGAAGAGGTCTTCGATAGTCGCGTCTGGCCCGTGCAGATCCTGCACGCTTCGCAGCGCCCTGTCTGCCGGGGCCAGCGCTGAGGCTGGCAGCGAGGTGGCCGCGGCGGAGGGCGGCTGCACTAGCGGGCCCGCAGGGCCCTCTGGAGGCCACACCTCACCCGCCCGATCCGCCAGCACATCCGAAACCTGAGCCGCCACGCCTGCCGCCAAGGCGCCGAGGGCCGAGGGCCGGGGTCACCATCGTCGATTCCACGCCAGGCCTGCGCGTCGCGCACGGGCCGAGCAAGCTGAGCTGCTGAGCCCGAGAGCCGAGAAGCGGACGGACATGGGGGAGCACGCGTCTAGGGCCGGGCGGGGCGGGCGCGAGGGCGAGACTGCTGCTTGCTCAGTGCGCTCTGTCAGCTCTGTGCGCGCGCTTGCTAAAGGGCTTCGTTTGTCGGGGTGTTTCTCACAGGGGCGGATCTCCTGATGTCTAGTTTTTTCACTCGACGAACAACCAATAGCATACGCGCGCGGGCCGAGCAATCTGAGTTGTCGAGGCGGACGGGGAGAGAGCGGAAGAGAGCAAGTGCCCGGGGCAGGGCGAGATCGAGAGGGCTCTGTAAGTGCATTTGCTAAACGGCGTCGCTTGTCGGTGTGCTTCTCGCGGGGCCTTTTCATGGGCTCGATGGGGGGGGGTCTTGCTCTCCAGTTTCAATCGAGGAGCAACCACTTGCAGATGTAAATACATAGAGGCTTCGGAGGCTATGATGATGATGATGGTGGCGGTGCTGGTGTTGTTGTTGATGATTATGCTGGTGTCATGGTGGTGCCGGTGATGATTCTTCAGGCTTGCGCCACATCCGCCGACCCTTTGGTTGGTCTGCCTGGGGGGGCGTGGCTACGCACGCCGTTGCTGGTAACTCGCGCGGGCCCTGGAACGCACGCACGCGCGCGCGCGCCCTCGCCGGCAACTCGCACGGGCCCTGGAACACACACACACACGCACACACACACACACACACACACACACACACACACACACGCACGCACGCACGCACACACACACACACACACACACACACACACACACACACACACACACGCACGCACGCACGCACGCACGCACGCACGCACGCACGCACGCACGCACACGCACACGCACACGCACACACACGCACACGCACACGCACACACACACACACACACACACACACACACACACACACACGCACACGCACACCGTCACTGGCAACTCGAACGGGCCGTGGAACACACGAACACACACACACACACGCACGCACACGCGCGCACACGCGAACGGTGACTCGTAACTCTCACGGGCCCTGGAACACACACGCACACACACACACGCACACCGTTACTTGTAACTCGCACGGGTCCTGGAACACACGCACGCACACACGCGCGCGCACGCGCGCGCACGCACGCACACACGCACGCGCACATACACGCAAGCCGCCGCTGACAACCCGCGCGGGGCCTGGGACACACACGCGCGCACCTTTACTGGTGATCTCGACGCTGCTGACATCGATGCCGACGTCGTTGTTGACGGGCCCTGCACGACTACACAAGCCGCGCGCCTGTCCGCATCGCGGTGGCGATGATGACTGGTTCAGCCTGCAGGGCCCCAAGACTGCCCCCCCTCTTCGCCGATGGCGGGCAAACGGGCAGCGCGTTGAATTATCAGCCAGCGCTGAAGAGAAGGAGGGGCTGGCGGAGGAGGCGAGGGATGGGGGGGGGTAAGGGAAGGGGCGGGAGGTGGAGGGGCGCGGGAGCCAGGAGGATACGCAAGCGAGAGAAGGGAAAAAAGGGTCGCATCAGCATCAGCGTTTGCACGCTACTTCCCGCCGCTGGCACTGGCACGGGGAAGAACCCGGAATTCCAAGGGTGGAAACCCGGAACCCGAGGGTCCCGGGTTTTTCACAACTCCTCAAGGTCCCGGGCCCCAGGAGAGGCGAAGGAGAGGAGAAGGAGAGGGGAAGGCGCGGCCTCGGCCACGCTCCGACGCGGCCTCGCACAGCCTCGGACGCGCTCCGACGCGGCCTCGGACGGCCTCCGACACGGCCTCCGACACGGCCTCCGACACGGCCTCCGACACGGCCTCCGACACGGCCTCCGACGCGGCCTCCGACACGGCCTCCGACACGGCCTCCGACACGGCCTCCGACGCGGCCTCCGACACGGCCTCCGACACGGCCTCCGACACGGCCTCCGACACGGCCTCCGACACGGCCCTCCGACACGGCCTCCGACACGGCCTCCGACACGGCCCTCCGACACGGCCTCCGACACGGCCTCCGACGCGGCCCTCCGACACGGCCTCCGACACGGCTTCCGACACGGCCTCCGACACGGCCCTCCGACACGGCTTCAGGAACGGCTTCCGGAACGGCTTCCGGAACGGCTTCCGAAACGGTTTCCGACACGGTCTCCGAAACGGTTTCCGACGCGGCCTCCGAAACGGCCTCCGAAACGGTTTCCGAAACGGTTGCCGAAACGACCTCCGAAACGGTTTTCGACGCGGCCCCCGAATCGGCTTCCGAAACGTCTTCCGAAACGGCCTCCGAAACGGCTCCTGAAACGGTTTCAGAAACGGTTTCCGACGCGGCCTCCGCCATGGACTCCGGCACGGACTTAGGGAGAAAAAGAAGAGTGGGGAGAAAAGGAGGAGCGGAGAGAAAAGGAAGAGAGGAGAGGAAATGAGGAGAGGGGAGAAGAGGAAGAGAGGAGAGAAAAGGATGAGAGGAGAGAAATGAAGGAGAGAAAAGAAAAGGAGGAGAAGAGAGAAAAGGAGGAGAGGGGCGATAAGGGGGAGAGGGGCGAAAAGGAGGGGAGGAGCGAAAAGGAACAGAGAAACGAAGAGGAGGAGAAAAGAGAAAAGGAGGAGAAGAGAGAAGAGGAGGAGAGGAGAGGACATGAGGAGAGG